CACACACAGTTGAAAGCACTATGTATAATATAGTAGCACCAGACTACTGGTTAACTTCTGGCTGTACTAATTAGTCAGCAACTATAATGGTGCACGAGCGTCTGGAACCCAGATTAGCACGGTTCGGTATCTCACATCGATCCTATCCACATCCAAAGGAGATGAGAGCTGAAAAGAGAAGCGTCCCACAGCCATGCTACCCGGTGCGCGGAATTCCATCAGCGCTTAGTTTTCATGGAACCGAGCTGAGCTAAGGAGTCGTCACCGGAGGCGGCAGCCGCTCTCCTGCTGGCAGTGGCTGTCCCTACCAGAGGGCCCTCAGGCCACGCGTCCCTGAATCTCATCTTTGGCGGACTCGGACTTACCACGGAATGATTGATTTTATTGGATTTTATAGCTGTTGACTGCTGCTTATGGAAAAACTAACAAATACTATAGCTTTTCGTTCAACACGTATGAAAAAAATGTAAGGTTCTCCTTCACAGTACAGACAGTGCAAGGAGATTTTTTACCTGGAAAACTGAACGCCTATGATAATTTTGCTAATCATATTGTGCAAGGAAATGCTGATTTCTTTGTACGTCGTCTTCCCTTTCTCCTATACGCACTTGATGCGAGATGATGGGCTTATCTTTAGCCTGGGGATATCTGTGCCTTACATTTCACACCTGCCTGAATGACCCTCCCTGACCGCTGGGAACCCAATCCTTTAACCTCCAGTTGAGATAAAGGCTCGGGTTTCTAACGCAGAACTGGCTTTATAGCCAATATAAAAATATATATACAACATATAAAGAGCTATATGCATGCAGAGACATACAAATGGCTCGGACAGGCATTCTGGTGCAGAGTAAGCTGCCGTCTGTTAGAGCCGCGTCCTTACGGCTCTACCTGTGAGACGCATTTGGCGCGCGATGATGCAGAAGAGCTGCGCCCCGGTGTGTCGCACGACCCCTCCGGCGCTCTTGTTTTAGCACTGACACCAGAAAGAAAGCGTAAGCGTTACAGCCGCCGTCTTACCCGCAGCCTTTGGGCTGCATGCCTAGAGCCGCTTTGCCTTTGAGGGGTCTGTCTGACAGCTTCCTTAAGTTTGGAGTAATTACTAAAGGTTAAGAGTCTCCACTATTCTGCCTTTTTAGAGGGATCGAATTGGTTTTCGTCTCCTGTCTAGAACCTGGGCTATGGTACTGCCTGATCAGAGGCACCAGCTGCTGACAGGTTTCAAAGGTTTGATTCTGCACCATAGTTAATTCTAAGAACAAAAGCAAAACCATACGCCAAAAAAAATCTGCTTTAAGCTTAAAGCCTGGAGTAAGAAGGGAAAATTGAAGTGAATTATATCAAAAAGCCTTTAGACATGTGACTCCAAACAGAAACTACAGAAAGGAAACAGTAATTATTATTTTTGGTAAAATTCTTTATCCTGCGTGAAAGTGATGCGGTTACAAAGGCAAACAACAGTTTGCTCCTAACGATTACGCCGGGGGACTAATAAACCGGCTGTAAGTCTGTTCTGCGCCTCAAACGTGACGCAAAGATGACAAAGAGCACGGGGATGGAGTCTGCTATATAAAATACCGACGGGCCGGCAGCATCACAGATATATTTCTGGAGGCGTGCTATTGGAGCAGCACAAGCTGATGAAGACAAAGGTTATTGAGATATTTAAACTTTCAATTATATTTCTGGTTAGACTCCAATTTCACACTGCAGTTATTTTATATCTTAATATATTTTTACTAGGTACAAAAGTAAATAATTAATCCGAGCTACTAAAAAGATTGACAAAGAAGATATAGACCTCTCGGCTAGCTCCAGGCTAAACGAAGTACGGAACGTGCTCGCGTAGTTATGCAGCTTATATTCCGCTGTTAACCAGGCATCTTATATTTGCCGTTACTGCTCATGCAAAGCGCACCTGTAATTTTGCCGTTGGCTTCGGATGGAGGCTGCCAGTTAACAATTATTGTCCGAGGTTTTCCCTCTTTGCTCACCACAGTCACGTCTTTGGGAGGAGAAGTAGGAACTGCAAGCAAACAAAAACCAGGCGATCAGAAACAGGTTGCCCAATTTCACCGGATACAAACACGTAACCTTTTCATTTGCTTTACCTCTGCAAAAAAAAGGCAGGTAGAATAATAAAACCTCTGAATGTTCCATCTTCAAATAAATCTGCCATCCTGGCGCAGTGGCCTTACTGATTTACTCCGTTCAACTGGCAAACGCCATCTGGTGTGCAGCGTCTCCTTTCCGTCAGGAGTTACCTGTTTCTAAAGCGTTTCTGTCAACAGATGCTGCGATTCATCACGGAATGAGCCTGTGTGTCTTCAAAAGCACGGCATATTTGTAGAGCTCTAACAGTTGGGGTTCAGGACTTCTACCCCGAGTTTCTTCCGTCCTCATAAAATTTACACGCGCTTGTGAAATAAATACTTTTTATATGCAAAGGCATACGAAATATCTCTCTATTTTCAGGTTTAGGGTAGGACCAAGACCTAGCAATGCCAGTTTGCCGCTCAAATCTGAATCAGCACATCCACCGGAGATTTAAAATCATCATCCGTAATTTAATGATTTCCTTAAGAATTTTTTGTGATTTGCAAGGAAATCTGCACCACAGAAGCATCTGAAATCTAGAAATATCTGCTGAACGCAAGTGTCCAACCTTTTTTCTTGGGCAAGACTGCGAGAAAGAAAGGAGGAGAGAGCGCTTCCTTCTCCCATCAGCTCCCTCCAGCCTAAAATTGCGGAAACGGCCCAAGTTGCTCCAGCTAAGGGCTGAAACCTGGGCCCCTTCTCGCTGTGAGCTGAAATACCCAGCTGGGGCTCCCGTTCACGGCTCGCGAAGGTGCAGAGCCAATGGCTCCAAAGGCGCGTTAACCAGCCACGGTTTGCGACGCCACGTTACGAAAAACGTGAGACTTCTAATTAGGTGACTTCTAGCAAAGTAAATCCGCCTTGGGTATTTAATACTGTAACGTTTAGTGCTTACTCGGTGCTTTCTGCGTTTAAAGAGCTTTATGCGTGTTACCTGTTAGAAATTAATCTGTCCATCCGCCGAGATGGCTACCTATTATCCCCGGGACAGCAAAAGCTCAGAAGTTACTGTAACTATTATCCCCAATACTTAAAAACATGCTCAACAGAAACGTACGGACGGAAAGCACGATCCAAGGCCCTGTGGTAAGCTTCAGAGAAAAAAAAAATAAAATCAGGACCGGCCCTCAAGAGACCACAAATTCACAGACTAACACTGACCCCAGTATCCCGTATTTTCCTTCAGCATTAGCTGAGGAGCAAGTCCTACACAACGCTGCTACTCATGACTATTCCAAAAGAATGAGTCACGCGCTCGGGAATTTGGCGAGTAATATCAATCACAAGATCTGTTATGAGAAAATACATTTAGCCTTTTTTTGCGGGTTTTTTTTCAGTTTTCATTCTTAGTTCCCAAGCTTTTAGGTCATACTTACAAATATTCTTTACAACCACCTCGACTAGAAACACTTTCTATTTAAACGCAATGAGACCTCCTGTATCTCGCCCTCGCTCTCGTACTTTTTGAGTTTCAAGTTCTCTTTTGAAAACTTTATTTGTGCAACTTTTACAGTCCCTGCTCTGAGCGTAGAGTTCTGGATGTGGATGTGTGTCAGCAAAAATACCAAATAAAGAGTTTTAAGGTGGGACGGGCACGGTAATCCGAATGGGGAAGGAGCCGCAGTCACGACCTGTGCTGTCGGAACGGCACCTGGCTCCATATCACGAGATTCCCACCAAAACTAAAGCAACCGGAGCTCCCAAAGGGTGTATGGGGCTTCAGAGTAAGGGAGCAGCGTTCCGACTTTACCTTGGGTTTGCTGTTTCCTACTCCTTGTTTGAGAATATTTGGAAGATCTCATCAATTCTTTGCCTGCTTGATTTTATTTTTTTTTTTCTCTGTATTTTCATTTAGAACGACGAGGTAATTTGGATAGGCTCTCTTTTGTCCTTACAGTTCAAACAGAACCCTAAGCATAATAAGCAGGAAATTTAATTGCACAAAGATCATTTAACATTGCGGGGTAAAAAGAGCTAACGAGGGACCGGTCCTGCACCTCGCAGTTACTCGGTGGACCCAAGTTCCTCCCGGTGGCTACAAACCCTTTTCTGTTCTGGACTTTGCGAGCGCGTCGTTTCGACGGCACTGAGAGCTGCGATGGCAAAAGAGAGTTTGGGACCGATTTGGATGTCTTCGTTTCTATCGGGATTTTTTTTCCCCTCGTTCGTTTCATGCGCTTCCTCCCTCTGTAGTAATTATCATCATAATTATAGCAAATGCTAATTATTATTTGCTAAAGTATTTTCTTTGTATTTGCCATTAACATGCTATTTCTGAGATGTTTCAAACCCACGCTTCTTTATTCTCTCCTGTCCGTGAACTGTAGTACATTATTCATTACGTCTCTGTAATTTGATGTAAATTCTTTTGCATGCAATCATCCCTTTGAATTTTGAAGGATGTTGTTGTTTTCTAATCAGAATTTCTGACTGAACTATGAAGAAGCCCCCAGCAAGTATTCATCAGCATAATCATTTTAAATACATGCTTTCCCTCCTCCAGAATTCTGGCAGACTTGACTTTATTCATCTCGTCCGGAACGCCAGCCCTTCCACAAAGACCCGAAGGAGTACCTAATTCAAAAGTTGTTCCGTGCGCTGTCATACTCCAAGTACTCGATCTTCGACCTTTAGTCACCATGACGGAGAATTCATACAAGGTATTTGGTTTTAGCCCGGTCACTAAATAGCTCAAAGTTGTCGCATTTGCGGTCTGAAAGAAAAACAAAGCGTCAGGAACTTTGGAACTGAAAACCGTCCATCACCAGCTCGGCGACACCCTGGGCTCAGGTACCGCTCTCAAACATTTTAGCATCGCTGCGGTATTAGAACCACGGCCGTTAATTCTGTAACGTTTTTGCTCTGTCATGCAAATTCATTAATCAAGTATTAAGGCGCAGTTGTTTTATCCTAAACTAGTAATTCTTTCTGCAATCAGCAAGAGCGTTTAATAGCAGTCAATTATAAATTTAAAAAAAAATAATAAAAAAAAAAAGCAATACAAGGTCCAGGGCCCACTTGTTATGCAGCAGGCTAAATCACTGTCTGCTTGGGGGGGGTTAATTTACAGCATTTCATTAACTGATCTGGCTAGGGAAAACAATGAAGCACAGCCAACTAACAGCCCTTCTGGAAAACTCCGTCTGCCTTCCAAATTCCTGTTAGAATTTTCGATAATTTCTTAACATACTTTTTAAAAAAAAAAAAAAAAATCAACTGAAAGTACAGGTGCGGAGAGACGTGAAGACAACGAAGCTTTAGTCATATCTAGATATTTAGAAAAAAACGGTTATCTAGGATCATAGAAGTGGTTTCTAGTGTAATGTGTAACTCAGCTGTTTAGGTAGAATTTTTGACCTTTAGGTTAAAATATCTGGTATTTGTTATACATTGTATCGTTATAGCTACACCTACATGTCTGTATATTCCTTACCTTGACCTACAGCGATCTAAACACAGAATTAAAGAGTGAGTTGTTTCAATACCTGACAGGACCATACAACAACACTATTACTAACTATTGCCTTCACAAAACAACTGCTTTCAGCTAATTCTTTTTCAAGGAAAAAGCCACCTACGTTCCTCGAAGGCTTTATGAATAACAGTCCGAAATCGGCAAAGGAACCCCCTATTCCTCAAAGAGCAATGACAGCTTTTTTCGTTACGCCAGGTAAAAGTTCCGAAACCTGAAGCCAAGTGATACTTTGATTTGTACAAAGTATTTTGCTTGTTCACAGACATGCGTTTTGCCAGTTCGACATCATGGAGCCGGACAATAAAGACATCATAAACCTAATTAAAATCAGGTCCTCCCATCACGGCGCAGTCAGGGACAGTAGGAAATAGCTGATGCTTCAGCAGAAGCCGCAAAGACCTTCTGTGTAACGACAAATCCAAAGGGGAAATCTTTTCCTAGCACCCTGCATTTGGAGCCGACGTCCCCCCTGAAAACCGCCCCATTTCTTCCTCTCCAGAAGACCTGCGGCAATTTCTAACAGCTTTTAAGCGTTCGATTCTCTTCATAGTACTTTTGAGCTCCTAGCTTGAGTCACACGTGGCAGCTGGAGTCCTTTGTACAGGCAAAGTTGTATTTTTCATCTACGCCTTTGAAATTTGGTATCTTTTCGTTTCACTGACATCATAGTGAATGTAAATGACACATGAAAGGCTAAACTGGCGTGTTAGACTTCTCCGCTTTCTTCATTTTTTCACACCACTTACTGTTTTTAAGATCACAACGCATCCCGTGATACTAAACCCTGCTCACCTACTAGAAATAAACTTCATGAATATTACCCTGGAAAATTTATTTTCCTTTTATAGAGTCCTAAAAGATCCAAGTTAAGATTTCATATTTGGGCTCACGCTTGAGAGCACACGGATACATCGCAGGTAGCCTGCGAGTAGGACAACGCTGCTCCCCCAACAAAGATTCCTTGAAACTCGCTCTCTGAGCCACGTTAGGGAAACTACACGGTTCAAAGCACAGTGGAGTATTTTAGTTTCCGTGTTTAAATGCTCTAGATTGACACAACTCCTACACAAATTTAAGAAATTAAGGCCGCTTAAGGCGGAACCTCTTGTATTTGAAGCACGCAGCCTCTTCTTTAATAAAGAGTTTGCGAACGTCAGCATCGAAGGGGGGAGCAAACGTAGAAAATTCTGAATGAACTGTATCAACATCCCATTTACTGACGGGAGGGATGGATGAAACAACGCTGCGTTAAACAGACGTAGCTTTGGGTACTGCAGAACCCCCACAAAGATACGATTTCTGTGTGCAAGGCTGCGGAACGGAGAAGCTCCGATACAACTGGGTGAGCAGCCTCAAAACGCGCAATAAATAACAAAGCTTCTAGAGTTGGCCATGACGAACAATAGACTAGCTGGTAGTCAATAAAGTTACCAGACCTGACTGAAATAGGGCAGTTTATTGAACAGCATCGCTGAAAAGAGGTTTTTGCCTTTCTGAAAAATCAGCAGTTGTTAACGTTCAACAGAGTTGTACGGAATTCACGGTCAAAACAAAAGAAAAAAAAAGCAGGATGCGAGTTCTCCAAACATCATGGGTTAAAACCTGTCGGAGCAAACGTTCGCAAACCTACGTCCTTTCAGGCAAATGCTTTTTTTAACCATGAGTAAGTTTGAACTATATTCCATCATTACATGCTATTTTTCGGTCCACAATAAAACTTCTTCACCACTGGCCACCAGCACTGAGAACGGTGGGAGTATTTCATTTACCACTGAGGGTGGGGTTTTTTAAAGCATTTCACTAATAAAACTGCAGCGTTCTATAAATCACTCCCGAGACATCCTCTGCACATGACTCGGGAATGTGGATTCATAAATAACTTGCCTTTAGAGGCAGAACACACATATATACATCTTTTCATTTCAATAAAAAAAGAGATCTGGTTTGTAACAAGTTTGCTCTGCGAGAGCATAAAGGGAGCTCCACTAGCTGGGTATTTTAACAACCATTTCCTTTGAGTCTCATTTCAAATGTGAAATTTGCAGTCAGCATTTTTGAGCCCTCCAGATAACTCTGAAAATTAAAAAAAAAATAAAAAAATAAAAAATATATCCAAACCAATAAACCCAACCCCGAATCTAGTCTCCAAATCAAAACAGTAGATGAAAAACAAGGAAGGCAGCGATATCATAAAGTCAGTGTTACATATTTTGCACCCACTCAGTTCCCAAAGGAAAGGTTCATTATCAACGTCGTATGAACAGAAAAGGTTGTAAAAGGAAACTTAAAACCGTCAGGGTAAATATTTTCCCTGCATGACTCACCCCACAAATTCAGATTTCTCCGACTAACTGGAGAGAAGCCATCAGTAACACGTACCTTATTAATGCCCTACTGGCTCCTCTAAAGGTAAGCCCCCATCCGTCAAACAAAGCGATCGCCTTAGGGTGCCGCAGGGAGGGTAAAACTGTCACCGTGTCCACGGTTCCAGAGCAGAACGTCGTTCTGGAAGCGTCTGCCTGCCTTCCCCGAGCCAGCTCTTCCATTCGCTCACACGCAACACCCCGTCTCGCTCTCCATCACGCACATACGCAAAGGCGCCCACGAAACCAACTACCTCCAACTACATCTAGCAGACCCCTTGGTTTGACCAAGCGGTACGGATGTGAGCTCAGTCCAGGCATCTCGAATAAACCTGGGCACACCTCTGGACCGTTTCCTAAGCGCTCGTCTCTACTCTCAACCCCGACTTGAACATGGAAGTTCTTCTCACTGAAATAACGCAGCTCTGGTAGTGGTGGTGAAACTCCGATACCTTGTACTTTGTGTTTGCAGGAATATTGGTTTTCCAGCGAACTGTGTAGTAGCGAGCGTCTGTGATCTTCTGGTTCTTTGGCAGAGAGTTGTCTGCCCAAGTGATCCGTATGGTGTCGTGACTCAGAATGGAAGCCTGAACTCCCACCGGTGGCATCATGGGAGACGGATCTGGCACTGGAGTGTATGGAGCATTAATAACAAACAAATCAACTTCGGAAGTGTCTAGGGAATTGATGGGTAAAAAGTAGTGTATTATAATTAAAAAGGGAGAAGGTGGCATTTTAATGTAAACAAAAAAACAAAAAAGGGGAAATGCAGGGTAGTACAATGGAATGAAAGGTGAGAAATGGAGAAAAAGAGAGAAAAGCCAGAGTTAATAGGTGACATAAGACCAGCGAATAAAATTACTCTTGCATCGTGTTCCTTTCTTAAGACAGTAAGACAACATAAACATGCTAATGTACATATATACACCTAATCGTATTAGTGTTCAGCAGTCCATTCAGCCCCAAACACATGGTAATTTTAACTTTATCTGCCTCAGAACGTCCACTGATTGCCCTTCCAGAAAACAACGCGGAGGAAAAAGAGCTGGACGACTTCTAGATGGGTAAATGCCGCTTCAGAAACATTATGGGGAACTCCCATCGTCCTTTAAAGAATGTTAATGCCAATCAAGTTCCAAGTATCGTACAAATTTGCAATAACTGAAGAAACTGTAATTCCAATGTCCTCCCTCTGTAAAATCTCTACAAATTCCTGCTCTTCAGAGGACTAAACCAAACCCAAGCGTTGACATCAACACAAAATAACGAAGTAATGCTAACAGCCTCGTAGGGAGCGCACTGAGCCATAGCATAGCGACAGCTCGCTTACAAACTAGTTTCTCTGCTTAAGATCTTTTATTAATGTATTACAAGATATTAAAAAAAAAAAATAAAAAAAGCCAAGAATTTGTTTAGTGTAAGTGACTGCAGATTGAGACTCAGACAAAGAAAACGCAGGCATCGTCTTCAAAATGAGAATGTAAAAGCAGCCCCTGGCCTTTACCTGAGTGGGGCCTGGTCACCGCGCTCTCGTAGAGAGGGATTCCTTCCCCAACGTTGTTAAACGCCTTCAGAGTTATGACATAGTGGGAGCTTGGGTCTGAAGGGGAAAAGAAAAAGTCCAATATATTTTAGTGCAAACTGTTAGCGAATCCTGTTTTCTGCTTCTCCGTATTCCCTCTGTTCAGCAGTTTATTTTTTAAGTGAAATACATGAAATAACTAAATTTGAGTTGAGGACGTCTCCATACAGAGCGTCCGTTAGTGTTCAGCAGTTCTCACAGAGCAGAAGTCTGTAATTACAGCAAATCTGCCTTAAGTACAGTCACAATAGTAGTGAGGAAAACCATTTGAAAACGAACATTTTAAGTTGCTCTACTAGAATATGACTCAAAACTCCAATTTCTCTAATAATTCACAATAGTAACATTTATTTTGCTTTCAGGATATCTTACCTACCACAGGGAGTTCTGTGGAGGAGCAGTTCTGTATTTTTCTTTCAAAGCAGATGCCACCATATCTCGGTGACATTGCGGTTTCTTTTTTTTGCCTGAAGCCACCCGTTCTGCAGCTCCAGGAGGAGGAGAAGGGAATGCCGCTCAGCACGCAAGTTTTTGTACAAAGCGTTGAAGGGAAAGCATCAAATCAAAACGCACTGTGCTTCAAACTCGGTAAATTTAGAATTCTGGGTTGGTTTTTTGTATTCCTCTGCCTCTTTCTCTATCATTACGGTAAATTCGCTTTCCTTACCTAAGTTTTCAATGGTGTAGTATCTCTGCTTATAGTCCACCTTGATGGTCTGCGCGTGCGGGCTGCCAATGCCGTACCCTATAGCGTAGCCTCTCACCACGATGTTCTGGTTTTCAGGCGGAGTCCAGCTTACCACGATACTGGTGACAAGCGGACGGACGTGTAGGATCGGAACTTCAGGAACACGAGTTTCTGTAAAAGCAAAACGACGCACTTCAAGGATTTCTCTTAAATAAAGGTAAATTACACGAAGAGCTCTGAGCTACTATGGCCAAACGTAGCACTTCTACTCTGCGTCTGTATTGAAATGAGTAGGCTCCAAAGGAGGCTCCAAAGGAGAGAGCTTTATGGTACAAGAGAGAGCAAAGAACTCTAATAAGCAGAAGAAAATTAACACAGTTTCATGCACTAATGTATTTTAATAGATACTCTCTTTAAAAGAAAGGACGGTCGTACTGAAGGGTTTTTTTTGATGTTTCTGCATGTTCTAATTTGTTGGTCTTCAAAATATGCATTAGATTTATCACGTCCTTCCCCTCCACAAAGCAATCTACTTTTAACTGAAGGGGTTTTTTTGATGTTTCTGCATGTTCTTTCCAATTTGTTGGTCTTCAAAATATGCATTAGATTTATCACGTCCTTCCCCTCCACAAAGCAATCTACTTTTAGTTCCATCGTATTACTTACTTGTGGGCATTAAAAGAATTCTATTGAAAACACACTGATGATGAAAGAAAGGTTCCTGAGCTTGTTGTAGGATTCAATAGAATATTCCAAAGCTGTAAGAATTTGTCAGCAAACCAGATACTGCATTTGCTGCAAAGGTTTGTTGTGATTTGTCCTCTTTTAGGTAACTCACAAAACATATGTAGAGACTACACGACCATACCGCAAGATCAAGATATACTCACAGAGTATCAAATGCTCGAATCCTACTCCCACAAGCGACACAAATTTAATCGCAACCCAACAGAGAGATGGAACGTGGATCCTTAATAACAGGAGGAACTTCCACTATATGTCACCGTAATCCCCTGATATTTTTACTGAAAGGATTTTTTTCCCCCAACTTAAAAGCAATCTAAAAGCACGACCGTACGCACCTTTGCTTTAACTTCTCACAAATGAAGTAAGTACTTTTGTCAGGCCACCGCAGCCTGCCGTACGTTGGCAGATTTTAAATAATTCTGCGCAACAGTAAGCCGAGTTCCCCACTCTAAAATAAAATCAGTTCAGAGAGTTCTGCTTCCTGCAGGGATTTCATTTTAATGAAACACGCTGCATTTACCTAAAAACATTTAATAAAGCACCACAACAGGATTATTTGGATCATAATACGCCATTGGCCTGCTAGCCCAGGGGTCTCCAGCTGACACAGCCGATCCATTAAAGTTCACAACTATTAAATACAGCAAAGCTACAGAATTGCAGTATGAGAGATGACATTTTTAACTGCACAGAAGTTCGTGCATTGGGGATGAACTTTGTAGAACCGTTTAACACCTCTTGCATGCGCGCTCCTGGTGGGACCTGCACCGACTCCGCAAAATGACACAGCCCTGCTAACAGTAAATTGTAAGAGCCTGGCTCCCATTTACATTGCTGATACTACAAAGTGAATAATTTTCTATTTAAATTCAAAAAAGCAGCCGTGGAATAAAAAGGAATTATGCCTTACATGTCTGTTGAACCTGAGAAATTAAAGATTAGCTGTAACTACACTTGCATGGTATTAAAATTATCCACGTGAGCTCACTAAAGAAAGAAAAGCAAAAAATACACATCTTTCCAGTGTGCACGTACGCAAATATCTCACACACGCTAGGAATACCATGTCATATTGTCTTAACTGTGAATGTTTATGACTTTATTCATTGTAAAGAATATGCATAAAGAAAGTTGGATTTCCTGCAAGGACTGCAATGCTCCAATTTGAAAGAAATTAAAATGACGATGTGATCGCAGAACAAAAGGGTTCTTTTCTTCTCCCTCCTTCCGCCCTATTTAAATTTAATCCTGATGCTATCCTCTGGCCCAGCACTGGTAACTCCAACTCACAAGCAGAGTACATGTTCATTACCTTGTGTAAGTGCTGCCTATTTACAGAGCTCTACTTCAGTTTGGGGAACCGGTGGTTTCTCAACGCTGCAAGGTTGTGTCATATCCAGTTAGAGGAAGACAAGACACACAGATGAAAGGAATTTCAACTCTAAAAAGAAATTTTAAGTAACTATAAGACTGAACTCCACTGTTAACATTGGGTTTTGCGCTGCTCTTGATTAAGCGATGGAGAATAAGCAATAAGAGGACAAGTATGAAGTTGAGCATCAACTTTGCATAACACAAAGATTGAAGCGTGGGCTCTCAGGGCTTCAATCAGCTGACTGTTGAAGCGGTCTGCCGAGAGCGTAGAGCAAATATTATTCTGTCTTCCAGCTGCCAGGATAACTGAATCTCAAGCCACGCAGATGTGAAAGACATTACTGGATCCCATGGCACGGAGCTACAACGACCCCCTCCGGCTACTCTAACAAAGCCAAGAGGGAGACCGGCCTGCAACAAGCGTGAGGTAACTTGTGTGCAACAGCGCTGATCAAATGCTTTCCTGAAGTAGCTACGGTCTTCCCGGGATCACCAGCTCCACGTAGGCAGTTCCAAAGAGATTCGCCTCAGCCACCCTTTAAAAATAGCACTTTCCTTCCATTTTCATTGCTCTTAAGATTCGGGGAGATGCTCACACATTTGCTCATTTGAATTCTGCAAGAATCAGGTTCCCGCTTGCAAATTATTCTAGCGTACCAAACATCCGGACCAACTATTAAAGGTCAACATTTTTCACAGAACATTTTCTACTTTTATTGGTAACCTCTACGCTGGAAAAACAAGACGTTAACATGGTTCGGTATACCGCATATCACGAATACACGGCCTTGGTGGAAAAGACTTCATTTCTGACGGAGGATACGGTCTATACTTGTCTGTCAGTACTGGCAATATAATCAACCTCTCTTTTCTTCTAAAGTGGCAAAATAACAAGTACGGGGGGGTCGAATGTTCTCTTTCGAAAAAATGAAGGAAAAATATTTTCAGAAAGCATGGTTCCAATGAATCACAGTGGTAAGGTTTCAAAGATTTACAGGCAAGAGCAATGTTTTCCGCTGTTTCTTTCCTACCGTGGCATCTCTCTTGCATTCGACAAAGTTTACAACTCCAAGTCTGCAACCACAGCGTAAACGCCAGTACTCCACCCCGCAGCCACATGGCCAGTCAATCAAATCACCGCTCCGAACTCTTTGAGGTATACTTCAATGCCTTCATTAGCATAATTTAGGTGCTACATAAATAGTTAATCACTATTTTACTTCCCTCAAGGAAAAACAGTCCTCCTACCTCTGTTTCAGAGCACGTAAGCCCTTGCATAATTAACAAGATGAATTTTATTACAACATAAAAATTGAGCCATTATTATTATTATATAAATCTTATAACGTATTATTATTTAAATATTGAAACACTGTAATTCACAACTGGGTATTTCCTAGCAGAAGCAGCATAGTGCCAACATACAGTACTAGAAAGCGTAGAAGCAGGGTTTAATTTCAAGCCATTTAATTGATTTGGCAAGAATTTTGTGTTAAAATAGAAATTCACTTCACTTAATCGTAAATAAAGCACATTGTATAATTAGAGTACAGTAAAAACAATTGCAGAAAATCAGGCTGGCCTTTAAAAAAGGCGATCAAACCTTACTGTGCCCTAATTCTAATGTTTTTGATGTCACAAATATGTTCACACTTATGATCTTACCGTCTAGGTCACTCTCAAACGTTTCTGCTGATACCCAGTCGGTAGCGGGTCCGGTACCATTAACCGTCAAGGCAGCTACTCGGAAGCTGTATTCTGTACCTCGTTCAAGACCTAAGAGACCAAGAGAACCCAAGTCATCGAACAGGAATTCCAGCTGTGAGCACAGGAGTCACAGTTCCTGACGAAAATGACAGGTATAGCCCGACGGTAAAATGCCTTTCACCCCACCACTGCCCCTTGCGCACAGCACGAGGTCAGGGATGGAAACGGCACTACACACGGCGCAGCTCCGCTGAGGAAGTTGTTTGCACCAGGTACTGTTTGCAGCCAGCTTTCATTTCTGGCTATTAATTAGTTTTAAGTACAGAACCAGCCACACATCCATAACTAAACATAGGTGTAGAGTACAGACAAGAAGTGACCAAACTGTGCAAACAGTTTAATGTATGTAAGAGCGTATAATCAATCATCAAAGCAGTATGAAAATGCACTCAGGATTTGATATATGGAACTTCTTAAACAGCCTTTGTTGCTGGCAAAAATATACTCTAGCACATATCAACTCCTACTCTGAGAAAACCAAAACTTAGTGAGTCACAGCTGGCGTTTCTGAGAACATATCAAAACATCTTGTTAAAAAGTGCATATTCATTCTGCGGAGAGGCACAATTTCTTCTCTTTTCACCAAGTCTTCATCTACACAGATTTAAAAAATGAACAAAATCTAGTCCTGCTGCTGTTCTCACGTACTGTTTATTTCTGCTACACAAAATTCTAGTTCTGGTAACGATATACAATTTATACTAAGTAATGCAGTAGGTTGGATTTTTGAAGCGTACAAAATAAAGAGGGGATACATTACGCCTATGCCAGAAAGAAGGAAAATGGTTGATGTCGGTGAAATTAGGCGGGACGATGTGTTTGCACAGATGCCCGAAGAAAGAAGTTCCTACGTGGGACTCTGAGCTGGGCTTGTTGGTGAGCAAGACAGAGCTCACCTACATTTTATCTACGTGCAAACAGGGGAGTGTGTCGCACACCCAGCCAGACCGCGTTTCGTCGGCATCCATCTCCATGTGCGTATTCTTGGCACTTGGGCAGACACAACGGGCTCAGGACCATCAACCCCTATACGCCCTTTGTAAAGGTTTTGAAAGGACTCATCCAGTCCACTTAGCAAATCGGTGGTAAAATTGGGGCTAGAAAACAGGACTTTGGTTTCCACTAGCCAGCCCACGCTACCTCAGAACTTCTTTTAAGTATTTTCATTTTTTCCTTCAAGGTAAGAACCCTACATAAACATGTCTCAGCCTCAGCCCACAAAAAGCACCTGAACCCCCCCTTTTTGATAACAAAAGCTTGCCAATAATAGCTCACCTTCAATTAGCTGGAAAAGCTGGGTCCCGCCAATGCTCTCTGTCACATCACTCTTGCGGGACACCTTACGGTAACGAATTTTATAGCCAGTGATTTGTCCACTGTGCGTCCCCGCAGGAGGCGGCTGCCAGTGTAGCATGATGCTCTGGGGAAGTAAGAAGGTCGTTACAAAGTCATCACCTCCCACGCAGCCGGAGGAACTACTCTAGCGCTACTACTTCACGAAACACAAGATAAAAAACCACGTGCACAGAAAATACCGCATTTTCCTATGGTAAAACAGAGGCTCTCTGCAAAAATAACCCCGCTGTGATTCAGCAGCAGCCGCGGCCGGCCGTGCGCCTATGGAAGTTCACCTCAACGCGCTTCAATCCTATTAGACCTTCTGATTCCAATTTCCCAAATGGCCCCATGGGTTTCCCTTTCATTTTCTTCGGGTTATCTTAAGATACAGCTTACTTGAGGATCTATCTTTAAGAATTTTCTCTAAAGGTTACAAGTTATCTGAACTGTAGTTTATGTGCGTGAAGTTATTTATTTTCAATCACGCAGGCAGCAGAAGAAGGTATTTGGAAAAGAGGTTAGAAAAGGCTTTTAAAAAAAAAATCTCCAATCATAACCACTAACGTCATAACGGCTAAGTATATAATCTTCTCTTGTTAAGTGCCCAGGACGCTATAAACGTGCGTATGTATGCACACAGACTGTAAACAATAGTTAATCAACAGGAATACATTCAAGCTCTGGCGCTTCAGGCTTTTGTGCCTGATTAAACTTCCTTCATAATTAGCCTCCATGCTTCGGTACATCGCCGCCGTCCTCGCTGCATTCTGTTACGTACAATCCACGGCGGGACTGGAGTTTCTAATGCTTCAAGCCCCACGTTCAGATATTCTCCCGTTGGGCAGAAATAACCGAAAAGCGGCACGGTAGAAAAGAAACCCAAAGCAGCTCTGAATTTTGGTCCATCTGAGACCCACCAACCTTTTGCTGACTCCCTACCAACGGGACATTCTCCACATCTTACCTTGGAATTCCGGACCTCCAGTGTTAGATTCTGCGGCGGAGCACTGGGGACTAGGAACATTTAAAGGAATTACAACTCCAGAATTTCCGTATACTGTATCAGATACTGTATTTCCATACACAACTACTCTCTGCTATCATTCATTATGGAAGTACAAAGCATTCTGGTTAGAGACACTATATAAATAACTACAAAATTCAACCAGGAGTACTTTATGACATACAGAGCGTGGCTTAGGAGGTTTACTTATTTTCGACACAAAGAACAAACTCACTTTTTAGTCAGGTCTTTACTTATCACAGGTATCTAACTAAAAAATGCCTTCTATTTAAAGGTAATTCCCATAAACTCTAAGAAAAGAGATCACATTCAGTACTTTTCAAAATCAAATCTTTAATTTACATGCTGGATTCTGGGAACCCACATTGGAAATTCTAGCCACGGTTTCTGTGTAACAGGAAAACCTCAGAGTCAACATGTCCCTGCATTACCGAGGAGGTGAAGCGCATCGCAAAGACGGTTTCTGCTTCTAAACCTCCGCTCTCTGTTAGTTCTTTACTAGCTGTAGCAACTTGCTGGTCACGACAGCGAAAGTCCATTAGACGAAAGGGCAACATAAGAACCCGAAACCAAGGAAATCCTTGTCGCAGCACTTGAGCCTCACAAACGTTATCTCCAAGGCAGAGATAAGGGGTCCCTGGCAGGAAGGTGAGGCTCCGGCAAAGCACGAGGACAGGCAAATAGCGCAACAGGGCTAAAGATTGTTCCGGCCTGAATAATGTGTTTTCCAAACAACTCACACCGGCCGCAGCGATGCCTAAGAAAACACTCCGGAGTGCACAAAGCGAAAGTAGCCCTGCGGTAAGTGAAAGGTACACCGGGGTGCGGTTAAATAAATCCCCCTCTCCCACTATCCCCCAAGCGGGGGGCAAGGCGGACCACGAGGATTTGGGTTTACTCCTCTTTCCAGCTGAATCCAGTTGGAAATCACCAGACCTAGGGATTAAGCCCTACGTCCTTTACAAAGCGACACACGTTAAGAGGAGGAAATGAAATCAAGCTAAGCTTTTCTTGCTGTTTGTTTGGTTTATGCAGTTGGTGGCTGCTTTCAGAACAACCTTAAAAAAAGTCCCGGGTTTCACAAGGAGTGATTAATAATTAATGCATATATTGCAAACTCGGGGAGAGAAAGACAATCAGTAGAACACGGGAAAGGATACACGCACGTAAATATAGTCACAGACACACGCGCAATTCATTTTACGCCAAAGTAAGCTTAGACTCAGACCAGATTAAGAATTTAACCAGGCCAGCAGATAAAATGGATTTCCTATGGGCTGGTACTCCGATAGGAAAGGCAGAGGCGAGTCTGGTACGTCGTACAGCAACCACGCAGACAGGAGGACCACGAGTTGCTCAGGGAAATGCCCTCCATCAGGGCGCCAGGCAGAGATGACATTTCTAGTTGTCAGACACGATTGCTTCCTATAGATCAGGAAGACCAGAAGAAGAGAAGCAATCCTTATAAGCAGCACATAAACCTGGGTTCAAATTGCAATACCTGAAGAGCTATCCCGCAACAAAGCACCGTAACAGATTAGGAGCAAAAACCTACATAAAAACGCGGAAGCTTGTTGAATAGAGGCTAAAGGAAGCTTAGAGTGAAATCCCTGTGGGAAACATGGAGGTTGCTTACAGGAAACACAAGGAGAAAACGTCTGTCTCATCCAAAAAGATTTGCGAGACTGAAGGGGAGAACAGCAGAGTTATCAGATTGTAAGAAGCAAGATGACATCCTTCCGAAAGCTTTAGAAAATCAATTTCTGTAGGTGAAACGTGAAAACGTTAAGTTGGGCCAGAAAGAACTTCAGGAAAACTTGAAAAATGACATTACAACTACTAATAAATTCTTCTTCCAACAAATAAGGAGCTGGAAGCCCTTTAGAGAAGTCGTAGAGTTAGCAGACAGTCAGGGTATGACAGAAAAAGAAAAAGATACGGCCACCCAGCTGACTTCTTTGCATTTGTACCGAGTGGAAGGAAGAGGAGAGGTTTCCATGACACCCTGTACGAGGGGCTTGCAAGATCTCTCAGCCTGAAAGGTCAATCCGGGGGATGACGGACGAGTCAGACGTAACGACGGCAGCGTGTTGCCAGGGCTAGATGCTATTCAGCCAGGATTTCTCAAGGAAGTTGGGAACGAAACCGTTGCATGACTTCTGCGTAACCTCTCCCAAGTTACCTTGATTCTGGAAGATGGGAAACGTGATGCCAGTATTTCAAAGGGGTTCCATTTGAGAAACTTCAAGCAGTAAGTCAGAAACCTGTATTAGACAAACTGAAGCCACAATAAAGCATGAAATTCATAGATACGCGGAGTAGTAACACGTATTTGTCACTGTTTTAAGGGGAAATCCCACACCGCAAACCTGCTGGAGAGCTCTGAAGAAACGAAGCGACGAGGGGATGGGAGGGGAGTCCTGGCCCGAGTAAACAACTGGTTAAAAGAAAGGGAAGAGAAGGTAGGAACGAACGTGGTGGGAGATGACCTGCGGCGTTCCTCCATGGTACATGCCGAGACCCCTGTTGCTCAACACATCCCTAAGTGCTGAACGGGGGATGGAGCAGCGAGGTGACAAACGTGAGTACAGACAAGATCTGACGGTAAAGAACTGCAGAAAGACCTCAGGACGTTTTGCGCCTGCATGTTAAAGTGACAGATGAAATTCATGGCAGACAAAGTTACAGGCGCGGGAAAAATTATCCTACATCTACACGCAAAGTGATGGCTCTGAGCAGAGCAATTCCACCAAGAGCAGTGTACCCCAAACACGTCACCTCAGTGCTCGGAACGAGCCAAAAAAAGGTCACTCAAATGCTCGTAATTACACACTTGCACTTTTGATACAATTTTAGTCCCCTCTATCTCCATTTTTAAAAGCACGGAGGAGAAAAGAAACCTAGAAGAAAGTTCAGAAAAGGGCACTGAAAATTGAAACAGCTTCCACAAAAGAAACGGCTAAGCATTTCTGTGACGTTTGAATTTGGAAAAGAGATGAACAAGGGAGAACGGAGCAGAGGTCTGTAACGTGGCGAGCGGGGCTGGCGGACACCGACAATTCCGGCCAGTCCCGCTATAGGCAACAACCGACGCTAACATACAGCAGGTTCAAACCAGAGAAAAAGGGCTGGTTTTTCCCAGAAAATTTATTTGTAGAATCCTTGTCCGCTATATGTCGCGGATGATAAAAGCTGACGTGGGTTAAAGAGGATGCCGACAGCGTTAACGGAAGAGAAACTTCAGTAGTAAGTACAGAGAAGCCACTGCAGAGTCAAGAAGTCCCAGAGAATTTGGGACAACGTTCCTCTCTGCTTGTCTGTTCTGCTCTTGGTCACTCCCGGAGAGAGAATTCCAGGCTAGGCTCACTTTTCATCCGCCTGCTCTTCCATATAAACAAACTTCTCAATGGTAACTCTTATTTTCTATAAACTCTGATGATTCCACAACTGTTCCTATATTTGCTTCACATTACCTCTTTATCTGCCATATCGAAAATACCGTTACCACTTCCTGCTTTCGTTATTGTATGCAATTGATTTAATGGCATCTGCGCTGGAATCTAAAGACCTGCGGCATTTTCCCATACGGCCACAATTAAAATAAAAACACTCCAAAAGCAAAAGGTTGCTCGCGTATGTAAAAATATTACAGAACCTGAAAAAAAAATAATTTGGAGCTGTTGCCTTCAATGTAATTGTGTTTCTGTCCGTTCAGAACGCTTCGTAGACTCAACAGCCCCTGAAATAAACTACTGATGTTGAAATGAAGGACACCGTTGTGTCGTTAGCAGAATCGGGTATAGTAATTTTCCCTCACCTAATGTGGAAAGCCTCCGGGGGAAACTTTCACCACACAAGGCCATACGCAACAACTACATTATTACTAAAACAGGGCAACAACGAACAAAACCATCAAAGTCTTTCTGGTTAAAAATTCACTTAAAGGAAATTACCACATAATTCCTGCCAAAAATGAAAAATAAAAAAGGAACAAAGCCGCTTACCATCCGACAGCGTTCGTACAACAACGTCGTGGGTCGAGACTCCGGGACCGTGTTTATTGTAAGCTACCACTCGGAAACTATACTCTGTGTATTTCTTTAATCCGTTAATGGTGTAGGAGAGTCCTCCTACATCAACATCCTGTTCATAAACAAACATACATACAAGTCAAGGTCAGAATCGGGTCTGCAACTATTATGAATGTCTCAGACTCGCAGACAGTAATAAAGGCAGACGCCGGAATGACAGCTTTCTGTAGCACCTGCAGATCGAGCCCACAGTTTGTATCCAGCCAGGACTTGTTAAGATGCTAACCGTGAGCTCACAAGAGACGTAAATCATAGCACGGACACTAGTTCTGTAAACAAAAAGAGATTTGACAAACTTGTCTCACTAAAAATTATGACGATGTCTTGGATAGCGGGATGCAGAAGTCCAAAATGACGTTTTATCAAAGGACTACAGCTTCCCTATTTAAAAACAGATGTCAAAAATGACTTTAAATGCTAACAAAAATATTCTTCCCTTAGCTTTTTTTTAAAGCTGGAATCATATTCAAATGCAATCGGATGGGCAATTAAATGACTGGGATTAATCCTGCCACAGTTGTGATTATTCTCAGGTGGCAACCTATATTTGTACAGAACATATCGGCTTCTTCCAGCTGAATCATAAGAAAATTTAATCAATTAGACACTCGGCGGTATCAAAATATCCATCGCTGGATCAAAGAACTCAAGAAGTAAGAACGGTTCAGATTAAGGATCATGCTAAAATCAGTAGCTAGCCTAATTTAATAAAATAAAACCAGCCAGCCTCTAAAAACCCCGCAAGCATCCTTTACACCACCTGGCCCAGAACTGTTAAATGACGATATAGCTATTATTTGAGTTTTCCTCTCGCGGTATGACGGCCATCCCCAAATGCTCCTTGATGCTGATGAACGCCTAGATGAGCCATCACGTAAACTATCGCTTTAATTCCAAGACATATACATTTCAGGCTGGATTTTGAAGTATTTCCGTATTTTAGGCTAAAGGATTCAGTCCATCAGAAAAATGAATGCTTCATAAGGGCTTTCTAGAAATTTCAGGTAAAACCATCACCAAAGACAAAAGGCTGTTAAGGGCGTTGTACGCCACGCCGGGCTCTGTACCTGTTCGGTCTCCTGCCCCTTCTCCATGTAATAGAGTTTGTAGTTCTGGATTTCTCCATTGCCCGACAGCGGCGTTTCCCAGGTGACGGTGACGGAGGTGGGTGAGCTGGCGTGCGCTCGGATATTGGGTGCCGGCCCCGGAAGCTGAACTGGAATGTGAGCGTGAAAGTCCGCTAGTCAGCAAGCCTAGCAATTAACATTTTCGGTAGCTAATTATTTTGGCGTCTATTTAAATATAAATCGATTCCAGGGATGTTTTTAGATTTCAGCATTTCACATGGATTTGTTGGGGGGTGTAAAGGTGGGACCACATTTCTGAAGGAGGTCCTGCTCCCTGGGTCAGATTCATTTCGTCCTGAACGATCCGAACAAATCACACACTTTGCATTTTCTTAAAGCTTTCTTTTTTTTCCCCTCTTGCAGTTAATGACAATTTTAAAGTATTTCTTTCCTAACAGAAACTTTAGAGAATCTAACAAGGAATGTCTTATCAGTTCTTCTTGAGCGTGAGAATAAATCGTATAAGCAAACCAACACGGTAACTTGGAAAATCATTTTGTGGTCTGCAAGTGCGACTTTGAAGAGCATCAACTTATTCTGGGAAAGGTCATGGATGGGGGGCGGGGGGCGGAAATATCGACCCTGAAGGCTTGAAATATGTAGAGCTTACCCTCGGGCTGAGTTGCCACCTTCAGCGGCGCTGAGCTCTCTCCGGGGCCGTGCTTGTTCTGCGCCACGACGCGAAAGACATAAACTGTTTCTGGCATCAGGTTTTGGATCGTCACTTGCGTCTCTCCAGGACGACTTGTGTTTTCAACGCGTTCCCTTTAGGCAACAAAAGGTTTGGGCACGGAAACAAGCATTGATTAGTCAGAGGGGTTTTGAGCGATAAATAAAGGAATAGTTGCTACTAAGATGTGTCCCATTTGAGTGTATCTAATGTGTTAACAGTGCGGTTGTTTATACTGCACAGACTACACAATATAACAATAATACGCCAAAACTGGTGGTGACAAACGGCTTCTAATTTTGTAACTTCTCTTTAAAAAAAAAAAAGAAAGCAACACTGAAGTAAAAGAATAAATTATACTTGACATCACAAAATACTAAGTAGTTTCTTTGTTATTCTTGTAACAGCATGCGATAATTCATAGTGACAGTTTATCCTACTACTCTGAAGCCAGAAGGAAAAATATTTAAGCAGCATACACAGAGTCTGGTGAGGTTTAAGGCATTTTTGTTAATATTCTGGGGCCGCTTTTTGTGTATTTTTCAAAGAAGCTGCTTTATTGTATTCTACCTCCCAACTTTACTCGGTTCCTCCCTAATATTTAGATTTTTTTGAAAACATCCACAGGCTCTGACTTGCTGTCGCAGACAGCTGTGGCATTTACGCTATTACCACACAAGTAGCGGAGTCAACAAAAGGCAGCGGCTGCCGGTGTCTCCGCTGCTCTCGTTCCGCCCGACGCACGAGCAGCAGCCATCCTTCAGCAGCACGTTCCGCGCGTCTCGCGCCCCGGGAATCGGGCACGTTGAGGGGCTTCTATCGGACCTGCGTGAAGATGCTCACCTCCAGCAACGCCGAGGAGATGGCTCTGGGCTGCCGGGCACCCCAGTTTGTCTGCCAGAGCTCAAAGAAAGAGCGCACGGCGTGGGAAGGAGCGTCTGTGTTCGGCTCAGCAAAAAAAAAAAAAAAAAAAAGGCCGACGTTTTGCAAGCTGAAAGCCGTAATCCGGTTCGGAGAAAACACTCCGTGCACCGAGGCACTGGAAGGATTATTGCCCTGCAGTTTGAGAAGCTCCGCTGCGCTCCCGGTCACGGGGCAACCTGCCGGGAAGGCACGGCCTCGCGCCGAACATCGTTCAGGAAACTCCATCGGCTCTTATCAAGCTCAGGATTGAGGGGAAGATTAAAAGATTAATCATCAGCTAACTACAGCCTTTATTTCCAACACGTTGCTGCGGTCACGTGAACCGTCGCAGAGCTACGTCTGGGTGAGGACACCTACACGCTGCCCTGCCTTGAAAAGCAGCCACCTACTCCTTGTAAACACAAATAAAAGCGGTATTACAAAAGAAGAAATCAAAAACTTCCCCGCTGAGAAAAATCAAGGGAAACCGCCACTGCTTTGAATACGATTCTTTCCCTTTTGTCTGCTAGACTTTGTCGAGCTCTACAGTAGAGGGCAGACGATTCTCATACCAATGATTAGCTGCTATTAAATCATTTTTAATGCAGAAGCCTGGGCAAAATTATTCCACCGTCTCCTCTTTCCTACCTCTCAGCCATTACGCTTTAGTGTGTACCATGGAAATACGACGCCAAAATCCCCGTCTTTAATGTCTTTCTTTTTACATCAACTGGTACGGTTGATTTAGCCTAACTTGGTTGAAAACATTTCAAAATCCCTGTTGATTTCTGCACTATTAAGCTGTAGAGAGAAACAATACACTTATTGTAACTACAGATCTGTTTAAACTCATTTTCGAGAATATTCTCCTTCATGAAAGTTGAGCTAAAATAGCACCGCATAAACAGCTTAATTTTTTTCAGATTTCTTTACGATTTCCATCGTTAAATGAGCAGCATCGTTATTGCATATTTGAATGAAGAACGTTTACAAAAGATTTTTCTTCTCCTCATGTTTACAAAGTATTTTTTTGCAAGAAAGAAGCTGACAGGGAAGCGAGAGGCACAAAAGAAATATCACACCCACCGCAGAATGAAACTGGGAGGGCAGGGAAAACAAGAGAAATATTTTCCCTAACTTTTCCAGTGCAAAATATTTGCTTGAAAATGCATTTTCAAATGGATGGTTTGCTTTAAGACATGTCTTAGATATATAATGATGGTATTTGAAAGCCCAGAGTAAGTGCCAGCTGATTCACAGCTGCGGAATAACATTCGTCTCCCATTGACATGCAAAATCCATTGCATTTTCGGCCTCAAGTGTAAATGCACTCACCGATTTTATCGGAAAAAAAGTGGTGAGGCTGAATAAGCAGTCCAAGGTTATTATTGAAAATGACAAAACCAAAATCAAATTATTTTAATGGCAAGACAACGTTTATGAAAAAATAAATAGACACGTCCCAGTATTGCAGGTTTCAGTACCAACTAGGAGCTGCACCTTCCCTCAAAACAGCATCTTAAAAATATGTTGGGATTAATCTAATTAAGGGCCACATGAATCTCTCGTTTATGCCCTTGCTTGGGGAGCCTTGAGCACCTTTTACGAGCTCTGATGTGTTTAGGTAGGCATAATAGGTAACAAAACAGATGGTCTGTATGAATAACTGTACTACCCGACAGAACATTATGCCTATTCTAACTCATTCCAGTTTAATCCCCAATTAAAGAGCTTTGTAAACTAGAGGTAAGGTTTAAAATAGCTACCAAGTTGCCTAAGGGGAAAAGCCTACGGTTCAAAACAAGCGGCAATCTGGAAATGTGAAGTTTAAAGTTACGCTTGTATATATAAAACAACCTTCAGGGAAATATTAAGAAGCAGCTCGGTCCGTGTCAGCCGTGGAGCCTGGCAGTGAGCTCAGAGACGTTGTGACCGTGTGACGACACCCAATTAAAGTCCATTTTCTGTGTTTGAAGCACACTAGGTTGAACCACGGGTTTGATATTATCTGAGTATCTCTCACGGGTAATTTACCATCCTGGACCAGCAAGGCGCTAGTTAGGTCTTTTGGTTTTGTGTAAATCCTGAAAGTTTGGAGTTCTTTTACTCAAGCGCTTGCCTGAAGTGTCAGAGAATTAAACCTCCCTTCGCCCCCTCACATTTGAATTTCCATACCCTTTTCGGGGGAAGTGCCTTCAATTCGGAATACCTAACGGAAGGGTGAAACAACCCTGCGACTAACTGTACAGTCTGTAAGGAAGACAGTAATTTCCACGTGATCGGATTACCGCAGTTCTTCTAGAAGTGTGACAATAAAGCCATGAGACACCCACTTCCTGCGTAGGTAATTCCCTCAAGAAAAGCCTCTCTGACATCATCAAGCCAACGTGAAGACATGCCACCAGCTTGGGACGGTCTGCAGCCACTGAAACAAGCAGGAACAAGCCGCCTTCATGGCCGACTTCCGTGCTTGGAAATGCTCCTCTTCTACGGATAGTTGCCGCCTGCCTGTTAAAGAGTAACCTCCGAGTCCTACAGATCTTTCTCCTCACTCACTCCTCCCCAGCCGACACCACGCACCATCAAACCCAGCTTTAATCAACCACTACAACTTTGGCAGCATTTGCGTTTTTGCTGTAATTCCTCGTTTGCTGCCGGTTACAAATCTTCTGTAACATTCAGGTCGGGGGCCAACGTTTTTCTGCGGGCAGACACTGAGTTTAAAAGGTGAAATAGATAATTTCTTGGGGGGCAGAAGGCATCTCTCGGCAGGTGAAGCAGTCGGTGGCCGAAAAACGACGTGGGTGCCCCATGACTACGGGCGGGGAGAAACCACGTTCCGGTCGTCTTGCAGTCCTCCTCTAAGTAAGCTCGAAGGGCAAAGTTAAGGAACACCTCGCCACGTTTCTGCGCGTATCTCCTTTCGCTGCATGGGTCAAAATGAGAAGAAGGGACCTCGGCGGTGGCCGAGGCAGCTGGCGCCTCAGGAACAGCACGCCCTGGCTGCTGCAGAGAGATTTAACGGCCCCGACAATCCACACGACCACTGTGACTCTCTGCAGCCCTTTGAAGACGGTTCAGAGATGTCAGAGTATCTAGCTAAGCCGTTCCATGTTAGATGTACTTTTTTTTCTTTTCATTTTTCGCAAGCCCGATTTAAAAGGTAAATAAATCAAATACCTAGTTTGATCACTGCTCAAATACAAGCGAGGAAGAGACACCACTTAGGTTACTAAAAGGATCCAGTAATGCATGCAATGAAAATGGTATGTGTAGGCAAAAATATAGTAGTACGAGGAGATGGTACATATGCACTTAAAACCACTGCAAAGACACACGATCATGTATAATTCAAGGGCTACAAAGTGATCATTTAAGCAGCATTTTATAATGCTGAGAAAGAAAGGAAGGTTGCACATCCAAGCTTGACTTCAAAATTTTCTGATCTCTGACTGCTCAGGTGTGCGTGACACGCTCATCTAGGTTTTTATTCAGTAACCAAGCAACGGTTCCACAAGGCCCAACCAACTGCTCACAAAGTTTCCTTTTTTTTTTTTTTTTAAATTTTATTGTTCTAAATCTAGGTTGAAAGGCAGGATTTCACAGTATTTTCATACCAATCAGTGAAACGAGTGATACCGACTGCCTTTACGAGGCATAATAAAAAAAACTGAAAAGGGAAAGGAGTGGTGAAGTTGAGACACTAGTGAATACGTGCAGGTGAAAGGCTTTCCGAGCCTACTTTGAACCCTGATCCAGAAGGACGCTTAAGCAAACAAAGATCTCTTTGCAGTCCATGAAACCACCAGCTTACAGGTGAGCACTTTAAGTACTCTGCTGTGTAAACTTTCCGTGGAGGACATTAACCCAAGGCGGAGGGTTGCTGTGCAGGAACCGCAACTGCAGATGGTCCTGGAATTGCCTAATTTGTTCACCTCAAACGACGAGATGCCTCTTTCCAGTTCCCTTTGTTCTACCCATGCTTTTGGCCCAAAAGGAACGTTTTCTAGCTTTCTATAGTCTTGCATGTAGTCGAAGGGGATGCGTTTTGTTTCCTCAAAAGCAATACGGGGAGAGGCATGAAGCCACCTCCAGCAAATTGTTTTCTAAAAACCCAGCGGGTAGAGCGGTTACAACGAGGAGGGTGAAGGAGGAGAGGCAAGAAGCAAGAACGGCTGGCAGGACCCCACCTTTCTTCCCCGTCTCACTTAAAATGTCTCCAATATCCACAGAAGGAAGGAAGAGTAGCAATTCACCATGAGTAGCAGAGCGTTTCATACTCTCTTCAAACGACTTAACTTTGAGGCTCGCGCTCTAGTCAGTAAGCAGACAGGTCATTGTCTCTTGAGTAATAAATCTGATAATCAAGCAATTAATTAAGCATTGCTCAAAATGATTGTTAGCTCCAACTTCTTCGAACTTATCACAACAATTTGAAACTGTAATTCTGAGCAGCAGATCCCATCAGGAAGAAAAAGGGGGAGATTGAACCAAACCATTGGTCAAAAACCTCATCAACGCTTCCCATTCATGAAATATGTATTTCCGGGGATTACTAATCAACATGTAACCGCCACCTACCGCAACACTTAACCGCCACCTACCCTCTCTGGAATCAGACTACATTTACAGGGTTTTAAAGCACGAAGCGAGTGCTCACCCTCAACAGCACACGAATTATCTGGAGGATGTTTCTGTGCCCGCTGCGGATGGCGTTTATAGCAGTGTCAGCGTTCCCAAAGAGGTGTTACAGTCTACGCTTGCTCTTAGTTTCTAAGCAGTCTGCTAAAAGCAGGTAGCAACTGTTTGCAGTCGATCAAAAGCAGGCGCAAGCTCTGCCCAGAAGAATATGCAGCAACGAGGCAAATAAAAACGCACCTCCTCTAATCGGGGTGCGGGAGGGAAGGCAACACGACCCCTCGGCCTCCGCAGCCACTGAAGGTTGATACTGCTTCTAAGCAAAGCTAGCGTGAAGAGTCACCAAGAGCACGACCCGTTTTACCCATCGAGATCTTTACCTGTTTATACCTTCCTTGGTGTAGAAGATTGAATAGGTGAGGTTGTCTCCTTGAGGGTCCGATACAGGCGTCCGCCACGTCAGTCTGATGAAGCGAGTGGAGACGAGGGTGGCCACGACGTCCCGCGGGGCTGAAGGCGATGGTCCTGTTGTAGCTGGTGCTAGATGGTCATTAGTGGCACTGGTCAGTGAAGTGGGAGGTAATGTTGGGATGGCAACATCTTGTCATGTGCAAACATTGGGGAATATGAAGGGCAAACATCACCACGGTTTAAAAAAAGAAAACAGGGGAAAAAAAAAACACAAAAGAAATAAACAAAACCACGATGGGAAACAAAAGAAAATGAACACACACAAAAAAGGCCATTAAACTGAAGGCTGACATGCAGGCAAAGGTAACTACTGAAAACTAATGGGAAATATTAAAGGACACGTCACTGTCGAGCAAGCAGACCAAATCTCCGTTGTAATGGAAGTGGCAAGGGAAAGGGAAGGGTGAAAACTGAGCATAAAATAGGACCTCATAAGAGGACATACTAGTGGCAAACAATATTTTAATGTCTTTGTAAATCAGATGTAATACCAAACGTTCACCAATTAAAAACCCCAACTTGTATGATTTATTCAAAAATACATCCAGACCCAATTTTCTACTTTATTTCATTAACAATCAGAATCAACTTATACTCTTGTCAATCACACAAACAAACAAACAAGACAGACGAGTACACAGAATTCATTTAAGAAGTGCAAACTCATCCAGGTCGTGCACTTGAACATTGAAGTCAGCTCACACGGTAACCGCTTTCTGAACCGGCCGGGTTCTGCTACAGCCAGCGGTGAGATGATGCGACCGACTCGGCGCGGCAGTGGAAATACAGACTTTTTCCTAACTTTTGCTAAGGTCACCATTTTCTTTCCATCAATGCTCTTCCTCTCTCTCGTAACACACATGACATCGTTTCACAAAGATACTAACAAGCATAAACGACTCTCGCTTCATATTATACGACGACTTTACAAACTTTTTTGTGGTAAGCCATGTACGCCTTCCTGTATTACTGCTTTAAAGCTAGGCTAAATCTCCGGGATTATTGCGTTAAAAGGTTGGCAAGTTAACAGCACAAGCTGTAACGTACAAATAGCTGTTCTCCAAATCCTATTAAAGCAATCCATCCAGTAAATCTAACGGTAATATTCTGAGCAGCTGGACCCCAATTACCACAGCGTATTACAGGAAGCACAATTAGTAACAAAACCCTAAAGCTCAGGATACCCTGAATTTTTCTGGATTCTTAACTATTTACCAAGCTTAAGCCACCTGATGACATATTCCACACGGGAATCCACGCTGCCAAATACATCGATTCACTTATTAATTATGGAAATTAACTAAAATGGCTCAGATTTTCCCCAGAAAGAAGTTCAGGACTAGCTTTTGTTGAGCTGCAGCATCTCAACCTAACGTACTCCCAGAATACGTGGACTTTCTGTCTCGATAGACAAGGAGAAAACTGCACACAAAAAACCTGACCGAAGCAGAAAACATTATCTGAACAACCAAACCTTCCGGCAGACACCCTGAGAACGACTTGGCTGCACGTAGAAGTCTATCATCAACGACAACCTGATTTTAAATTCTAAAAATACCGTGTCAACCAAAGCATCATCTCGCACGTAAGGTCTTGAATTGGCAGAACTCGCATTTTTCATTTCTGTTTCTTAGGCAACTGCTGGCAATGGTGGAAGAACAAACCCTTTAGCGTTTATCAGATTTGCACAACGTAATAAAAATACGTGGGCAGAACCACGAGACGCTTCATTGTTTCACAGGAAACCCTACAGCACACACCACCACAGTGCGCTTCTCGGGACCAACGACCACCACAAACGAGGCCCGACTCCACGGGGACACCGGCAATGTCCGCCCTCCCTTCCTCCCTCCCCGCGTGCCGCTGTGCCTGTCACCGCTCTGTCGTGTCTTCCACCCTTCCTGAAGCTCTCATTCAAGTTTCACTCCCCCGACAAATACTGCTGTAAATACAACCACCAATTTAATTACATTTCAATTACATGTTTCTTCTTCCTTTGATACCAAAATCAAGACTCTTTAGTTCAATATCCGTATCTTCCCAGGACCCTGCAAGGCTCCCAGAGCCAGCACATACATATTTTGGCACTGAAAACACAGATTGCAGAAAGACAAGTACTCAAGAATATCTTCTGAATTATCCTTTCCACGCTGTAATAGCCACAGAGCGCAATTAAGTATTCTCCCCCTCCGATCAATAGACTACACCATTAAAGTCACATTCATTGCAAAATCTAAATTATTTTAATGTTCCTGTAATTAGGTTTCTTACAGAAACACCCGTTTTACCTCTTCTGCTGGACTCAGTGCAGGGTGTTTCATTGCACAGCTTCACCCCTTGTTCGATGGTACAGTACGATCTACCAAGGGGCAACAGCAACATCTCGGGGCAGAAAAGGTTCTAAGCTAAAGTTATCAGCACTTACAATTACCTTACTCCAATCTGAAACATCACCTTTTCTCACCGAAGTGCATTAAGATCCTGAAGAAACCAAGGCAGGCATTTGCCATAATCAAGACACTGAAGGAGAAGAAACTCGAGCATGGTCACGGGACACGTGCGTGACATGGATGACCGCCCTTACGGCTAACTGAGATCGGGAGAGCTCACCGATCTTCGGGGACAAACCACTCGCACCCCTACGTGGAGGAAAACAAATGGGCATGGCAGGAAGGCAGCTTGGTTGACCGGGGAGCTCCTGGCCAAGCTTAAGCACATGAAGTGTAAAGGAAGCAAAAACGGAGCCCAAAATGGCTAACCAAACAAAATACAGAAACAGCACCCAGGCACACAGAGGTGGAATTAGGAAAGCCAAATCCGGGCTGGCTGGGTGGATGGTGGGGCCTGTGGAGAGCTGACTGGCCCAGGAGGCTCCCAGCCTCGTGGTGAATGGGGTGAAGACTGACCGGCAGCCCAGGTCATGAGCGGCGTTTTTCATAGCTTCACCCGTGACCTGGATGAGGGGACAGGTTTGCAGGTTCTACCAGATTGGGAGGAGCAGCAGATACACCGGCAGAGAAGGAGACCCACCAGGCTGGAGAAGTGGGCTGGTGGGAACCTCAGGGTTCAACACTGACCCGTGTGCGTCAGGGTCAGGGAATCTGCCCGACTCCCCTCTCTCTACTCCTGAATGACCATTACAGTGCCACTTCAGTATGGCATTTATGGTCCCAGCCACATCAGCCAGGCTTCTCCCATGTTTAAAGCTGAGCCCAGGTTAACAGTTCCCTTGGACTCGAGACTTACTCGCCGCACCTACCTTCACTCCTTCCACATCATGTTGCCACTAAGGAAGAGGGTACGGTACTCTACAAGAACCTCCTTGGTGCCTGTAGTTTTCAGCATCTTTCCTAGAGCGCCTGCTTGATTGACTTCCATTTCATTTCAAACTTCTGTTTGCTCTACATTTTAATTGAATATTTTTCCCTTGTAGAGAGCTTTAATTTCCTACCCTTCTATTAACTAATTACATTCATAATATTATTTAGAACCATGAAACAGTTTGAGGAATCATCTGTAGGGAAGCTGTTGCTACTTCAATACACAAATTCCTTATATCCGCCATTTCCGTTGCTCATTTTAACTCTAGGAAGACTGTAGGAGATTAATTTCTACTCTGTGGACTTAAAAAGAACAACACTCCCAAGAACGGTATCAGACTGCCGTTCTCCAGCACAGCAATTGTCTTTTCAGAGCTCAAAATGCAAACCAGGTATCTTCCATCGCCTTACGTTAATACTTTGGTTTTTCTTACGTGTCTTGGTAATACTGTCAGGTGAGCTGCTTCAAAATACACGTTCCTGACGCAAAAGCTGCATCTTACCTAGCTTTAAAAATCATTCTATTTAGTTAAAATGTAATACAAATATTTTCAAAATAATTAAATTGAAACAAAATGCTGAAATTTCTCTAAGGAAAACTATTTCCCTGATGAATTTTAAAAATTTATCTGCTTAATCTAAACCACATCCCACATATTCATATATTTGTCTTCCTGTATAATGAAAAAGATCCATCTTTTACTTAAGCGATCTGCACGCGGCGCTTGAAGAACCTGCAGGCATCAAGATGAAGAGCCTGGGAGAGCTGCCAAGATTCTCCTAGGTTAACAGAAACCCAGTTTTATCCTCGCGCAAGACTCAAACCCAGAAATATTCCTTCTGACAGCGTTCTAGGTAGATCGGTCAAACACAACAAAAATGAGGGGCGTCTGAAAAATACGCTGGGAACCAAAGGAAAGCGCAAAGGACTTGTAAATCGTACAAGGAAGGTAAGCAATGAGTAGACAAGAAAACTCACCCGCGGAAAGCTGCAATTAAATACCAGCTTGGTAGCAATTTGGTACTGTTGATAGCGGTGGAACGTATTTAGAAGACCGGGTTATTTCCTTTCCTTTTTTCCCCCTTCTTCCTCAAAATGCCTCGAGTGCCATTACAAACTGATTTGTACACAGCCGTGCGAGCAGAAAGCTCAGCAGTGCAGAGCTGTGTTAATGAGTAATTACACTAAAATTAGTTTTAATGCCAATAAGGGAGCAGCTTTATTACTTTAAGCTTTTAAGCATGGTGTAACAAGTATCATGCAAAACAAGTTCTCTTCTTTCTAACATGTATTTCATCACTTTTTAAAAAGCGGCTATACCGCGGAATACTCCTTGCAGACCTATTCCTACAGTTTCGCATTAATCTCATCTTTTAAAAAATATAAAATAGGCATATTCAGCAAGTGACATGCTAAGAACATGGAAAAAGAAGGACGTTGTTGCATGCCAGACGTATATACAACAGATTTATCTTTTCAACTGCTGCCGATATATCAGTTTTTCTGAGCTTATGTTTTTCTAAGGGATCAAGACCACGTCCTTGCTCCATTGGCCATCACACAAAGGCCGTACAGTCGAGATGGAGCGCGTTGTCTTGAACAGCATTTGAAAGAAATCATTCAGCAAAACAGCCGACATAAAATGAATCACTCCTTAACCAGTGGCTCCACCGCAGTCAGGGGGCTGAGAGGAGGAAGACCGAGGTTAAATAAATGGTACTAAGAGGATACATTCAAACTGTTGCAATACAATTTCAATTCTGGATCAATAGACAAGGAAAGTCACTTGATTTATCTGTCTGCAGCTA